ACTCAGACCTGGACACTGCCTGTGGGGCACACCCCCCACTCTGTGCTAGCAATCTGGATAAGGCCTTGAGAGTGCCACACAAGCAGGCTCTTGTTCTCCATCTTAGTCCTGCTGGTTAGCATAGCAATGGACGTGACAGCATCCATCATGAGTGTCTTGATTAGGACTATTAATCCTTCTGAGATCTGACCCTAGTTGTGCTCTGGACAAACTAATTGGCTTCAGCCTTACTTTCCATATCAATAAAATGGAAACACCTACCTGGCCCATCTACGATCACTTTCCTCATAGGATACTGAGGAAAATAATTTTTGAAACCATGCATTAAATATAAACTATATTAGAATTTACATATTACAAGAAATAACCAACTAGCCTATAACTCCTGGCTCACTGTGGAAAAGCGACATCATTACAATGATGCAATAATTACCTACAGATTTAAGCAAAAATTGGGATATGACTGTATTAGAAGGCTGTGTGGGAAATGGAAGTGGCCAGAATGGGAAATGTCAGAATGCTAGTGTTAGAACTCACATATAAGGAAAAGGTGATATAGACATTTTATTAGAAACAGAAAAGGAAATAGCAATAGAATCAGAATAGAAAGAGGTCAATTGAGGGAGCTCCGAGGGAAGGGAAATATGTAGAAAGGAGAAAGATGCTGCAGCTTTTCATCATTTGCTTCTTGATGCTATTCTACTTATATAATGTAGATACGTTGTTTTTATTAACTGTCAAAGGACAATTTATAATATAAGGTGCTATACTTCTAGGCCAGGTGGTGGTGGCACACACCTTTAATCCCAGCACTCAGAAGGCAGAGGCAGGCAGATGTCTGTGAGTTCAAGGTCAGCCTGGTCTACAAGAGCTAGTTCCAATACAGGCTCCAAAGCTACAGAGAAAACCTATCTCAAAAAACCAAAAAAAAAAAAATGATGCTATACCACTTATATTTTAAACTTTTATAGAACTAATTATACGCAGTTCTTACGCAGTTCTTAAGAGTGTACAATAAACAGTTAACTTTACCCCAGGTACACCATATCCCTAAAAATACACCTGTTGAATTGACTTGAGAGAGTGACAGAAAGTCATATACTTTATAATTTGCCAAACATGTCTATGTACATGATCAGTATGTGATCCTCACACAGCCCTGCGCATTGTACAGGTTCAGTGACTCTCACTCTGCGGATGAGGAATGGGAACTGCAGGGAACGTTAGGACTGCATGGAACGTTAGGACTGCAGGACTGTTGCCCAGAGCCCAAAGCTAGCAAGCTGCAGAGCCAAACTGGAAGGCGTGCTTCCTTTAGTTGAGGCTCTTTCCAGCATGCAACCATGTACTTAGTCGCAACAGGGGAGCGAAGATGATTTCCCTGTGTCCCTGGGAGAACAGTCATTAAGTATCTTTGTTCCAGGACTTGCCCCAAACAGAGAAGTAGGCAACAAAGAAGACATGCGGGAAATACTGCCCATTCCATTCTCAGGAAACCATAAGAGTGCCAGAGACCCAAACAGTGAAGTTTTCAACCACATTTTACACATCAACAAAAAGAAACAAAAAAAAAATGGTATTGAAAAGAGAAATTAAAATTTAGAGGAAAGTAAAAAACAAACAACATTGTTTTGTTCCGAGATGATGAGGTAAATTGCAGCCCTTCCCAAGTCTAGGCCACATCCTTGACATTAAGACCCTGGGCATTAGATGGGTGCCTTTCCCATCTCTCGCTGTGTGTGTAAGCATCCTGCATTCTCAGAGAAGCCGTCCAAGCATCTGTATCAAGCACGGGGGTCATGGGGAGTACACCAAAATCGTATGTTTTGAGGTCTGTTTTGTAGTCTCCTGTAAAGCACTCTGCTCTTACACAGAGTGAAAGAAGGGAATGGACGCTCTCTTCGTGAAATCTCCAAACATAGCCACTTAATCGAAATCTTACTCACTAATGTCCAAGTTACTAGGTAGGGTTCTCAAATTGTTAGCAAGATGAACAAACTGGCTAGATTTAGATTACGAAAGGCACCTGGAGGTTAGATAAGGCATGGAAGAGCCAAGACAGACAAAGAGGCTGACTACCAGGAAATGCTATCCGCGGTCTCATGGGTAGGACCAGGCCAGAATGTCCACCTAGGACAAAGGAGAATGTTTTAGTAAAGATCTGAATCCGAAAGAGCAAGCATGCTCTTCAACGAGCTTGCAGCCGCCCTGCATTTAGGACTGCAAGAGTCCACTGCAGCCTCACCCTAAAGGAAACGGAAGCCCTGAAGAGAAAAAGTACAGAGCGGAGGGGAAATGGGGGGAGGGTGTTCATCTACACGTACCAAGGCTTCCTTCAAAAATTGCTTAACAAACTACCTAGCTGTGGATCACAAATTCCTAAGAATATAATTTAAGACTACTGTAATTAGTAATTGGCCATGCAGAGCCAAAAGGTCTATCTTCCCGACGCTCGCAAGACTTAACCTGTTTTGTTTTTTTCTTCTGAAGGTTTCTTATATTTCTTTTTTATTACATTTTACTGATTCTCTGTGTGTGTGTGTGTGTGCGCGCGCGCGCATTTGGACATTGTGTGTGTGTGTGTGTGTGTGCGTGTGCGTGCGTGTGTTTGGACATGGCATACAACACAAGTAGAGGCCAGGGGAAAAGGAATGGTAGTTAGTTCTCCTGTTGCACTGTGTGAACGTGGTAATCGAATTCCCATCATTGGGGTTGGCAGCAAGCACCTTTATCTGCTGAGCTATTTTAACAGACCCATTCCTAATTACCTATTAAAAGTAACATTCTCATTTTGAAAACATCCTAAAAAAATCTTTAAAAAAAAAAAAAAGTAGGCACCAGAGACTTAGCAATGTTTAGTTCAGTGCTTAGCAGTGATTGCTGCTCTTACCGAAGGCCCATTACCCAGGTCAGGCCAGGCAGCCAAAACTTACCTGTAACTCCAGTTTCTGGGGGATCATGTTGTCTTCGACAGGCACCTGTATTCAGGTGCACATATCCACACACGGGCACACACATACATTCATAACTTAAAACAATTAAAAAAATAATCATTAAGACCATAAGAAGAAGGGACATGGCTGGAGAAATGGCTCAAGCCATAAGGAGCACGCTGTACAAGCCAAAGGCCCTGAGCTCAATCCCCAGCATCTACACCAAGAAGGCTGCCATGAGCAATCTGATTGCTGCAGAGGCAGAGACAGGAGGATCCCTATGACTGGATGGCTAACCAACTTGACCCAATAGGTATACTCCAGACTAAGGGAGTAGGTCTCAAGAAACAGTCAGAAAGCCTGGCGGAAGACACCCGATGTCACCCTCTGTCCCGCTCACATGTACACATATATACACTTATGTGCATATGCACATGCACACACATACACATATAAACACATGAATAAATAAAAAGAATATACTTTCAAAATACTTAATAAATGTTTAAGGCTGCTATTGCTCATGACAATGAGGACCAGAAGGAGGAAGTGACAGTAACAACAGTGACAGTAAGCAGCATCTGCTTGTCATGGACCAACCATATGAGGTAGAGGATATCTTATCATCTCCATTTCACAGACAGGGAGGAGAATGAACACATTGTTCATGGTCCAATAACCAAAGCAGGACCAAACCCACCTCTGACTGCAGAGTACTAACTCGACAAAGAGTATGAAAACACCCCCTCCTCCAAAGGACCACAAACATCACAGCTACACCACCGAACTGCAAAGTCCTCGAAACAGCCTTATCATCTCTAACTCCAATGCTATCGAGTCCTGTCATGTTCCAGGAAATGGCTCAAGGCTGCAGCGATATGAACGATATAGGAAAATGAGGACCATCCTCATCTTCTGATATTTTCTTCACTAGGGCCACCACTATATCAAAATCCCAAGGCAGCCAGGCTTCATGCGCCAAAACTTGATCACCCCAAAGCAAATCCTCCAATCAGTTTTTATAGATAATGTTTTAAACATTCCAAAAAGATCTCTCTCCAATTTCTTTGTAAAACTATACTTTACTCTCAAAATGAACATTAAAAACTCGTTTGTCATAAAGTTAGAAATAACTTAAAATAGAAAGTAAATCAAAATTGCTTTTCAACTTTAACCAAAGTGGTCACGGTCATAATTACTATAATAAAAATGACAGAAAAAAAACTAAATTTGTCAAAAACATAATTGATGATGAAAACAATCGTAAAATTGTGGCATATTTCACCCTGGCTACCACAGCCTCCTGATGAAAGTGCAGCCCTATAATCCCTCAGAGTGAATTCTCTAAATTAAAATACTTCATGCAGAACAGAAATTAAACAATGAATCAAAGAACACTGCTGTACAGAGGTACGCTTATAAATACACCTGCGAAGGAGAAACAATTACATTTTCCCATGCAAAAACCAACTCAACCGTAATGTTTCACAGAACTGGTATTTTTGCTATTGCTTTGAACTTGGAAGTTCACTTCCTATAACTCACTTAGGACCCCAGTGTGACTGGTGGAAAGGTAATCAGCCCCACCAGACTGGAAGGTTGTCTCCGTGATACAAAACCAGCTCTTCCACTCAACCACACGACTGCCTTCCGTGATAAATTTCATCCGGCCCAACTGAAATGCCTATCTGCGTTTTATTCTAAATGCTTTCTTTGGCCCGCTGGTTTTATTTAAATATTGACCAGATATTTAAAAGTGCATTCTTCTTCCATCTAGCATTAATCTTGGTAAACCTAGCTCTATTGAAATGTCTTAGGCGCTGAAAAGAAAGCAAAAGTCAGCAAGCACACAATTGCATTTGGCCACCCTCAGCACATCATTCTATTTCCTCCCGCTCTCTGCTAACTATTGCTCAGCACTTTTGCCTGTGAGGGGAGACGAGCAGGTGGTTAAGGAAGTTGTCCTGTCAGCTGGATCTTTAATCCAAGTGTTTAAATCTCCGAATAAAGGGAAAATCAATGTGGTAAAGGCAATGTTTGTCAAGGCCTCGTAACAAATACACTTACCTTTACAGACTGTTCTCGGTGGATTTTCCCTTCTTTGCTGAGCTTCAAAGCTACGGAGAGATAAAAATGAAAGATTGAGATGCTTGAGAGCAAAACACCAAATGTTCCTTTTCCGCGTTTCTCAACAGAATTTCCATGGGCTGTGGTCTGTGGTGCTAGCTAAATACGCCATCGATGAAACTTGTGCCTCACACCTGCCCAAGAGGCCAACCAGAGACGCAGACAGCCACGGTTTTAACATGGCCCAGTGTTCCATGTGTCAAGATTTAATTTCTATCACGAGGTATGAAAAGAATAAAAACTTAATCTGAATCTAGTTAGAGGAAAGGACATCAAGAGATCAGTAGGCGCGAATAGGTTACTAGGGTTAAAGGCTTCAGGATTGAATTCTGGATCCTGATGGCTTTTATAAAGAGAAGGAAAGAGACCAGACAGTCATGACAAGAGGCATGTGTGTGTGTGTCCACATCTGTGTGTGTGTATATGTGTGTGTATGTGTGAAAGAGACCAGCCGGGCCGTGGTGGCGCACGCCTTTAATCTCAGCACTCAGGAGGCAGAGGCAGGCGGATCTTTGTGGGTTCGAAGCCAGCCTGGTCTACAAGAGCTAGTTCCAGGACAGGCTCCAAAGCTACAGAGAAACCCTGTCTTGAAATACCAAAAAAAAAATAAAAATAAAAAAAAGAAAGAGACCAGACAGTCACAACAACAGGCATGTGTGTGTCCACATCTATGTGTGTCTACATGTGTGTGAATATGTGTGTGTACATGTGAAAGAGATCAGACAGTCATGACAAGAGACGTGTGTGTATATATGTGTGTGTCCATGTCTGTGTGTGTCTATGTGTATGTGTGTGTATGTGTGAAAAAGATCAGACAGTCACAAGAGCCATATGTGTATGTGTGTATGTCTCTACGTGTGTGTATCTATGTGTGTATATGTGTATGTGTGTACGTATGTGCATGTGTGAAGATCAGACAGTCATGACAAGAGACGTGTGTGTACATGCATGTATGTATGTACATGTGTGTATGTATGAAAGAGATCAGACAGTCATGACAAGAGACGTGTGTGTGTATCTATGTGTGTGTCCATGTCTGTGTGTGCCTATGTGTATGTGTGTATGTGTGAAAGAAATCAGACAGTCACGACAAGAGACATGTGTGTATATGTGTATGTGTCTACGTGTGTGTGTCTACGTGTGTGTATATGTGTATGTGTGTGTACATGTGTGCATGTGTGAAAAGATCAGACAGTCACAACAAAAGACTGTGTGTGTCTATATGTGTGTGTGTCTACGTGTGTATGTATGTGTTTCTGTCTTCCTAAAGGAGAATGATCTGTGAAGACAATGCACACATTGATATATATGGACACATACACCTATACTCCCTTTCTCTTGGTATGTGATAATCTGCCAGCCTTGGTGTTCTGCCACAAAACACCATGGCTAGATGGAGTCCTTTGTGCTTTCACCTTCAGAAACATAATCCAAATAAACCTCTTAGATTTTTATAATGCCCCTTTTGCTGTGGTGTATCATCAGCAAAAAGGAAACAGGCTGATAGAGAAACAAACTGAAAACAGCACACAGTTGGTCATATCTGCATCATCCAGACTTGGCCACATCTACAGTTCAACCTTGCAGGATGTACGCACCTCATCAGTGAATGGCGCATGAACCGTGGAGTGACAAGATGTATTAAACATCAGGATGGCACATGCAACTTGACCAAACACTCACATTCCTGGTCTGGTTTGGACCCTTTTCCTACTGTGATTTCCACCTCCCATGGGAACTTTGAGTTCTGGAAGGTTGTTCCATTCCTAGAAGGCACGTGGGCCAGAAGCTCAGCTCAGTGCTGTTGTCCCGTAAGAGAGAGGGCGGCAGCTGCTGCCCACGCAAGCACAGTCACACCCTCTCTCCAGGAAGAGTGCAGCTTCCTTTTAGGAGAAACTCACAAGAGAGCAGAAGATACAACTTGGTATTTCAGATCAAACCTCTACTTGTTAACTTCCCCACTTACCCAAATATACTATATGCTTGCCACATCCTAATCAATGAGATCTGTGAAAACACTTGCAAAATGCCAGCTGTTGAAAAATAATGACAACTTATGGTTTGGGTAGGCTGATTCTATAACATCCAACATCACTCACATAGTCCATGAAATTATTGTAATTTGCCTCTTCTCATATCTTGGCTAGGTTCTCATTCATCCTAACATTGTAATAGTTGAGAAATACAAAGCTTTTTTTTTTCTTTTCAATATTTTGAGTGATGGCTTTAAGTCTTACAGGACTATTTCCCTCCATGTTCCTTAACTCCACCAAAGAATAGGCTATATTCACAGGCAATGCTATAAACCTTAGAATACTAATGCCGGCCCCTTCATGGAAAAGCATAAAAAAATTTTCTCAAACCCCTTTTAGCTCCATGCAACAGCAGGGTTGGGAAAAGCATAATTTGGTAATGAATAAATGAAATTGTATAACATTTCCTTTGTGAAATGTGAGAAATTTATAGCCTGAACCCCTTTTCATTGAAAATACATAGAAATGCTAAGCAAAATAAAGAATTACAAGTGGCAAGGAGAAAGACCAACATGGAAAAACAATGCATATCAATTTTCTAGAACAAAAGCCATGAGCCCTCATAAAAAGCACACCGAAATCATATGATAAATACTAGAAAATCCTAACTTAGATACATCCAAATGAAACTACAGAACATCAGAGACAGAATGGCAGCCCTAAATTCAATAAAAAGTACACCTACAAAAAACAGGTTACCCGCCCATAAAATGAAAGCAAGGTAGTGATGGTGTAACATGTTCAAAGTGCTGAGAATGAAAAAGATCAGTAAACTACACTCATACCAACTCTATCATTCAAAAATGGTATAGAAATAAGGACTTTATTCAGATTTAAAAAAAAAAAGATTGCTATCCATATACAGTAGTTTGCTTTCACTGAAAAAAATCAAGGTGAACCTGAATCCATAGAAATTTGTCTCAGAGGGAAAGGATAATGAGTAAAAAGCAATGGTGACCAGAGAAAGTCCACTGAACTGTTATTATCAATGATGAATATTAATCAAAATCAGATTGTAAAGAAAGTAATAATCATAATTCTGGTTGTAAAGAAAAGGGAAATTGATGTGGGATTGCCCTCTATATGCTGTGAATACCATTAGTTAATAAAGAAACTGAATTGTCCTGATAGGGTAGATAAGTGGGGAAAACTAAACTGAATGCTGGGAGAAAAGGAAGCTAAGTTAGGGAGAAGCCATGGAGTTGCCACCAGAGACAGACACGCTGAAACTTTGCTGGTAGGCCACGACATCGTGGTGATGCACAGATTAATGAAAATGGGTTAAAATAAGGTGTTAGAGTTAGAAAATAAGAAGCTAGAGCTAATGGGCCAAACAGTGTTTTAAATAATACAGTTTCTGTGTGATTATTTTGGGTCTGAGCTACCAAGCAACCAGAATGATCAAGGGGCCTCCTTACAACAGGAAATACCAGTGATGATGTCTTAGTCAGAGTCATTGTTGCTGAGATGAAAGACTGTGACCAAAAAAGCATACACTTCCACACCAGTGTTCATCATCAAAGGAAGTCAGGACAGGAACTCAGGCCTGGCATGAACCTGAAGACAGGAGCTGATGCAGAGGCCACGGAGGGTGCTGCTTACTGGCTTGCTCCCTGTGTCTTGCTTCCTATGGCTTGCTCAGCCTGCTCTCTCACAGAACCCAGGACCTCTTTCTTACTGCCAGTCCAGGGACAACACCACCCACAGTGGGCTAGGCCCTCTCCATCAGTCAATATTTAGGAAAATGGCCCACAGCAGAATCCTATGAGGCATTTTCTCAATTAAGGTTCCCTCCTTTCAAACGATGCAAGCCTGTGTCAAGTTAACATCAAACTGGCCAGCTCAGAGGATAACAACTGCTGCTTAGTGTTTGGATAAATGCAGCTGAGAAGTTTATCCCAAGCACATGGAATGTGGTAAGAGAGAGAAGGGTTAGAGGAAGTCAGAGTGTTCACGATACATGTCAACATGTGTGAGTCCTCTGAAGTTAGCTAGCCGTTCCTTAGCCACATAACCACAGACTTGTGCGGTCACACTCACACCCGTACAGAAACTGTCCAAGAACACCATGGATAAAAACAGCATGGCAAAACATGGGAAACAACCCGAATATCAAAGCAGTACAATAAAATGTTCACAGATTCTTCACATCAAATAACATACTAACCGGAAGAGCTGATGGATCCGTCATCAGCATTAACAAGGATGGGGGAAAGCAAGGCATAGACTGTCTTCCATAATATCATTCTCTCATACATCCCAAAAGGACAAAATAAATACCAGGTTGTTTGGGAATATAACATAAGTAAAGAAAAGCTAAAAATGAAAGCAAAGAAAGGTCTTACACACATGTTAGGGTCCCTGTCTTGGAGTATTGGTAGGTATATGAGGAAAAACATGGGGGTTCCGAGTATGGGTTACTTCTGGTGTGAGGGAAGGTAATTAGATGATCATTTTTCCATATTCCATTTTCTTCCATATATTTAAACATTTTCATAAAAATCTACATGTCAAAAACCATATATATATATATATATATATATATATATATATATATCACCTGGTCTCCTTTGTCCTTTTGTTGTTTTCCTGAGAAGGGGGCCTCACTATATGACCCAGAACTGGCCCCCAACTCCCAGTACTTCTTTCTCAATCTCCTGAGTGGAAGGACTAAAGTTTGCCAGATGTACAGGCAAGATTCCAAAGGCGTGTGTCCCAAGACAGAAGCAGGCAGAAGTTACCATTTTTAGGACAGAGGATCAAAAGTCACACAATATTATTAGCAATGTCACAAACCTCACCTGACAAAGACATGCACCTCCAGAGGGTGTCATACTGTAAGATCACGTGGGCTGTGTATCTGTGCAGGGGCAAACATGCTTGGGGAACATACTGGTCCTCAACATTCAGTAGCAAACCAGTGACTGCTCTCTTCTCAGCAGGCAAAGAACAACCTG